GCTGACTCTGTAAACCGCTTAGAGAGGGCTGAAAGCCCTATGAAGCGGTATATAAGTCTAACTGCTAATGCTATTGCTATTGGTCGCCCCTGAGGCTGTGCCCAGCTCTTCGGGAGCCCATTCGCAAGGGAGCAGCCACCTGGCAACCCCAAAACAATAAGCTCTCCCCTATAATAAGCCCAAGGCCATATTTTGTAAGTAAAAAGAAAATAAGACCCTGTCGTATTTTCGGGGAAACACGGTAGTCCCAAGAAGCATAAGGTCAGACTGATCTAACAACAAAGGCCAAACAGATTTGTTAGCTTCCTCCTAAAGCTTCCTCGTCAAGGGGCTTTCCAACAATGACTATGAGCAACTCTGTGGAGAAATCAGCAACACTTTCCCATCTAGTTATAATGATCCAAGATGCATCAGCCCCATCCAGAACAGCTCCCTTAAGTGACTATCACCAGACTCAGTGGATCCAGGGATCTCTTTCCCTGATACAGCTTAGCTTTTTCAAGGAATGTTTAAGCTGTACTTAGTCATATTTGCTTTTAGGTATGACCCAGCCATTCTAGAAGTTGATTGCTAATCAATGCAGTCTGATCAGGTAGTGACTGCTCCATGACAAAGTCACAACAGGGTCTCCCAATCACAGATTATTATTGGTACCTGCAGTCTGGCCCAAGATGTGCCTGTTCGATGAGTGATATTTATTTATTTAAATTTATATGCATCCTGATTCCCAATGACATCAGGATCAGTTCACAGAGAGAAGCAGCAGAGACTTCAGACCCCACCCGTACTAGACAGCAGTGGTGGGATTCAATTTTTTTTCAACCGGTTCTATGGATGTGGCTTGGTGGGCGTGGCAGGGGAAGAATACTGCAAAATCCCCATTCCCTCTCCAACCTGGGGAAGGTTACTGCAAAATCCCCATTTCCTCCAGATCAGCTGGGACTCGAGAGGCAGATGAAGAAATGCATGCACACACACAGAAAGACACCGTTGGTTTTGGCGACTAGAGAGGAAATGTTCATTATGCCAGGCCTGCGCCAGAGCCAAATGCTGTGGGCAAGCGAGCACCTCCACACATATACCCCCTCCTCATCTAGCTGCTTTGTGTGGCCGGGAGGGTGCGCACACGTGGAGACACCCCTCAAGCAAACGCCAAAGTGCAGCAAAGGCATGCGTGGGGCGGGTGGCCATGGACCATCCAATGGCAAAAGTGTCAACGGCGGTCTCAGAGTATCGAGACAGCACGTTGTGACATCGCGACGTGGCTCCTCCTTCTCCAGGAGGAGGCAGTTCTTTGCATGCACATGGCGAAGGAGAAGTATCGGAGTGGCCTGGTTCGGGGGTGTGGCCAGCCAGTGCAATAAAAATTGCTCTGTGCATACGCAGAAGTAAAAATCAAGATTGGAGAACCGGTTCGGGGGCGTGGCAGGCCTGGGTCGCTGCCGCTTCCAGCGACCCAGCCTGCCAAACCACTACCAGTTCATCCAAACTGGTAGAAACCCACCTCTGGGCCAGTCAGAGATGGTATTTACTGGTTCTCCAAACTACTCAAAATTTTCGCTACTGGTTCTCCAGAACTGATCAGAACTTTCTGAATGCCATCTCTGATAGGCAGTGACTGAGGCCTTGGCCAAACTGCCCATCCGATCCTCAGGGAGAACCCTAAGCATGCTGACCGGGCACTTTGGGAGCTGAAGTCCATGCAACCGAAAGTTGCTGAGGTTGCAGAACACTGCTGTACTCGCCACACTGGGCCTCAGTGAAACACTGTCCCTAGCTGTCTGGGCACATCTCCTGAAATGACAGTCACTGGTCACAGAATATTCCCCCCAAACAATTCTCTGATCTGTCTCCTGAATATGTAATCCAGAAATAAGGCGAAGGCCCACCCGCTAATAATCTCCTCAATATCTAACAAGAGCAAAACAAACTAAATAAAAATGCACACCTACTAACTGAATTCCAATCTTTTCCTTTTTCATATTATAATAAACCACATTCCCCAACCACCCATCAAACAAGAACAAGAACAGCCACAATTCTTCTGCAAACTACTCCACACAACCAGAAATGGTTTGCAACAATGACAAGAATATCTCCAGTCATTGCTTACAGAAGTTACCCTAACAAAATACAAGCTTCCAAAAATTCTTCAAACTCCAAATTATGACTCTGTTTTAGAAGTCATTCTATTTCTTCTTTTTTTAGAACTTGTCTTTTCTGTCATATTACCTTCCTTCTGATATGTCCACCACCATATCTTCCTCAGCTGCCTGATCATTGGAAGCTCCACAGTTTTTTCTCCCTAGTCCGCTACAGTTTTAAAAAGAGCTTCCAGAATTATTGTAAATCATACATTCAAAAGCTCATCTTAAAAGGTGGCACTGGCAGTTTGAATGCTGTTTTCTACTGACTGGTACTTTCTGCTGTGAGGGACACCATCATGTGATGAGACCAGTGGGGATGGTTGCAGAAGAAGTTAAGAGAGTTAAGACCTTCCTGTCTGAATAAACCAAGTGATGGATTTGTATTGGTATCTCATTCTGGGTGTGTGCAGACAATAAAAGTTCTGATTTCCCTTTCCCCATTCCTGTCAATTAGGGAAAGAGCAAACCACCATTCAAATCAACACAGTTGATTGTTTTTTTCAAAAGGTGGAAATAATAGCGTATATGAACTGATGAAACGAGGATGATTCTTCTGCCTTGTGACTGTCACTAACTGTTCTTTTTAGGTAACTGGGAAATTACAAGCCCAATAATAGCAAACCCATTCCAGAATTTTTCTGTATCCCTCTCTTAGGGCAACTCAGATCAAGACTTACTCCTGGGATAATGCTCAAGTGATTTTGGTTGGGAACAAGTGTGACCTGGAGGATAATCGAGTAATATCCCCTGAAGATGGCAAGAGACTTGCTGATGAACTAGGTTTGTTGGTCTCTCATATGGGAACATCTCCAGATTAGATGGCTCTCAAATCTCATACCCAACAAAACGAGAAATGCCTCCCACTCTTTCTCCCCTCCCACCTTTGGGCTTCGAGGTGGCGCAGTGCTTAGGAGTGCAGTACTGCAGGCCACTTCAGCTGACTGCTATCTGCAGTTCGGCGGTTCAAATCTCACCGGCTCA